TTTTGCCTCTGCCCGTCCCATCCTCAATTGCTGTCTTGCAAGTGTGATGATTTTAAGTTATATGGGGCTTGGGAAAGGGGTGTGACTGTTAAGGGATTAGAACCCAAAGCACATATCATACATAGGGGACATCGTTGTAAAGCCCCCATTTAACACTCTGTATATGCTGAACCTAGTTGTCTGAAACTTTTAAAGAGAATTTCTCTTTTGGTTTAAATCTCCCATATTTGGTAAATTTTAGGGCTTCTAGACTATTTTCAAGTTGTAACATCTGTTTTCTGGAAACTTCTATTTTGAAGAAATTTAATGGACTCAGAAATTGTTGGAATGCTGATTTCACAGCTATTATGTCAATGTTCTAGTGATAGTACCTGACTGGGAAAGATTGTTCTCAGCATTTATTTCCTCTTTTACAAACAAGTAAAATAATAAACAACAGGAAATCAAATGCCAAAACTAAAGAATACGCTCTCAGATGGCCAAATCAAATCCTCACGAGTATTTCCACTTTACAGACCACAAAATATAAGTGTAATTAAAAGAGGGCACAGGTTTCGTCTTTATATTAGGGTTGTGTACATGTATACATGTTGTATTTTATAGTAAGTCTTTTTGGGGGAAATAATAGCACCTCAAAACAAAGCTAGAAACATAGTAAGAACTGAAGCAAATGTGCCCAGAGAAAGACCATCGGGCAATTTGTGACTAAGGGTCTGGTTCTGCCCTTTATAGTAAGCCATTTGTTTGAAGAATCACCTTTTACGTATCAGAAAGATTAAATTATCTGAGTAAGGAAATATCATTGTAAATTCCAAAATGCTTCTGAAATTCATATATATTATTTTTTGACAGGCTTTAAAGATTTAATGACCATAGGATTTAGTGGAAAGAAATGATTTAGGAGTATTTGCGGATTAATTCTAAGAGGATTTTATTAACTTCCCAGGTTGGTTTGCTATTCTTCTATAAGATTAGTCCAAACTTGATATTTTTCAGCATTGTTTCTCAATGTGTGGTATGCACACGATTTAAAAATGTTAAATTATGTATTTTAATATTCATTTATGTCTAGACTCTATATGGCAAATGATATTGGTTTTCAATTAATAGCAATGATGTAAAACACTTGAGAATAAATTGATTTAAAAGAGTATGTCTATTTAAAGAGAGATGGTAATACAGGGTGCTTTGTGTGGTTGCTGAAGTAGGGTAGGTTGATGCACGATTAGTTGAAGTGTGGGAAACATTGGTGTATTGGTAAACCATATAAATTACGCTATCTTGTAGTACTATAATTTTAATAATGTTGTTAAATAAAAACTCGCAGCCATTGTGTGGTTAGTTGGTTGTTTGGCTGGTATGTATGTATGTATGTATGTATGTATTTATTTAAGAATGCTGGCTCTTTAAGAATCTTTTAGTAAAGAAATTGAGAGAGTTAGGGGCACCTGGGTGCCTCAAGTTGGTTAAGCGTCTGACTTTGGCTCAGGTCATGATCTCACAGTTTGTGGGTTCGAGCCCCGTGTTGGGCTCTGTGCTGACAGCTCAGAGCCTGGAGCCTGCTTCAGGTTCTGTGTCTCCCTCTCTCTCTGCCCCTTCCCTACTCGTGGTCTGTCTGTCTGTGTTTCCCTCTCAAAGATAAAAGAAAACATTAAAAAAATTAAAAAAGGAAATTGAGAGAGTTATTTGGATCCTTGGTACCTCGCATCAAAGTTGATTAAGCAAAAACACAATCACTTTAATTGGTTTACTTCTAGTAGTTAGAAATAAGAAAGCATATGTCCAATGCTATTCTATTGAGAGTTTTCTAGGACTTCCTGGCAAGAGTAGTGTCCTTTGATAAAAGTAATGCATGTGCTCCAGGGGTCAATTAGTAATTGGTAAATGGTACACCAAACACCATGCAGAGGGCTTTTGTTAAGTTTTATCACTCAAAAGTTTGGGAAGGTCCTTTCAGTTTGGGTTTATATATGCTAATATCTAGTGAAGAGAATAGACCGCATATTATTTTTTTCCCTGGGAAGCAGAAAAGGAAAATAAAAATATTTAGAAGATGCTTTGAAATTAATTTTATTCAGAAAATATTTTTAGAAAAATTAGAATATCTGGCACCCAACTTTTGAATATTAAATATAGATTTTATATTTAGAAAGAGTAGGCATTTACTGTTTCACTGATTTATTCTACATTTGAAAAACAAATTAATCCATGTCAGTACAAAATGTAAAACACGTGGAAACTATAAATGTAAAACATGCAGTAAAGTAGAAAGTACTCTTTTCCTTTCTCGCTCCAGTGCTCTCCCAACCCTATTTCTCAGACACGACTACTATTAGTTTGAAGTCACCTAGTTTTAAGAAGTCAAGTGGAATGGCATTTAAGAATTTGGAAGAGTAGGAATCTTTTTTCCCAATTTGTGCTGCTGTGGCCTGTGTTTATATTTTCAAGCATATGTGGCAAATGGAAGTACTTTGGGCTTTGGAGTCAGATCTGTGTTTGAATTCTAACTCCGTCACAGAACAGCAGCGCGAGTTTGGAAAGTTCCTTACCTTCCTGTGCTTCAGATTTCTCAGCAGCAAGGCTTAGTAAATGTTGCTTTTCTTCTGAGCTTTAAGCAGGCCTAGTCTGTCTCTCTTTCTCTTTTAATAGGAGACATATCTAAGAAGATCTGGCATAAGAATCCATGACATGTTTGGTTTTTTTTTTAAATAGAATTTGTTATTTTAATGACCCTAGCCTGCATGCATTCAGTAATGCACTCATTTATTACATTTCACCTACTGTCAGGTTGTAAAAGGTCACTGAATTTACCTGCCCCTGGAATCTTCCTGGAATTTAGATGGCCTCTGCTGGGTTTCGCTTTGCACTTATTAATAATTGAGCACTGGGATAAAAATAAAAACAGACTCTCATCTTACAGTGTGAGAACATGGGTCATGTGTGCTAAGTCATGCAGGTAAGATGAGTACCCTGTGGGGTATCCAGTCTAAAGAAGTATTTCATGTGGGCTGTCACCTCTCTCCTGCAGAATGGGTGCCTCAAAATGAAAGGAAATTAATGTAATTGCTCCTGAGGAGGGAAATGTATTTTTGCTTTTCAAAGGTTGTTGTATAAGCTTTAATTATGTAATCCAAACACAGAAGCCTTTTACCGCAGCTTTCCCTTTTAGCAGCAGTAGTCAACTTTGCGATACTGCTGCATCTTCAGGCTTGAGAAATCAGTGCATTATAACCAACTCTATTTATAGGGTATAACCTGCCCATTAGGGCACAGCAAAATCCTGTTTTAATATTGGTCTTTAAAGCTATGTTTGGTTTAAATGGATTTTTATGATTTGAGCTGCAGCTAGAGTTCTGATTCTCCATTTGTAGAATCAGTGACTCACATCTAGATCGTTCTTTTACAGTGGTTTCATTTTCTGTGCTGTTTTTTGTTTCATGTTCAATTTGCTTTGGTGGTTTGTGCCTTATCAGACCTCCAGGTTTACTTGCCAAATGAATATGGAGCTTTCTTTTTAAAGCTAGAAGTATCTTTTATGTTTTTATTTTAGTTTTCTGTTTATTTTTTATTTTTTACTTTGAGAGAGAGAGTGAGAGTGGGGAAGAGGGGCAGAGGGAGAGAAAGAGAGAATCTTAAGCAGGCTCCATGCTCAGTGTGGAGTCTGATGCGGGGCTCGATCCCATGATGCTGAGATCATGATCTGAGCTGAAATCAAGAGTTGGATACTCAACTGACTGAACCGTCCAGGCACCTCAGTTTCCTTTCTTTAGAGAAGACAGAATTGAGGTATTTTCTAGTCCTGAAATTATTAATAAGTAAATACACATAATATATTGCTAATGGGGTAGCTCAAAACTCAAAGAAAATTTTCAAGTAAAGAGGAAAGTCCTACTTGTTAGGAACTGAGACTCTGCCCCTCTTGTTGAAATGTACAGGGTGTTCAAATAATGCCATTAATTCTAGGTGGAGAGGATTTTTAGGAATAAAATTTGATTCCAACTATAGAGGAAAAGCACTGATGCCCTCAGCCCCAAGTTAGAATATTACATTATACTTAGAATAAAATCAAAGTCTGCCAATGGTTTGTATTGCTCTTCACTATTTGGCCACTAGTTGCTTCTCCTTCCCATGTTCTAGCCACGCTGCTGATCCTTGTCCAACCCACCACACTCTTTCCCTTGCAAGGATGGTGGCCCTTGTGATTCCTACTGCCTGGCAAGCTGTTCTTCCTTTCCCCTGCTCTCCCCTGGGTTTCCCCCTGCATATCTTACCCTATATGTCTCCTGGGCACCCCTCTCAAGCAGCCCCTTTCTATTCTCTTTCCAGAACCTTGTTTATTTCCTTTTGAGCACTTAACTCAGATGGTATTTATTTTTGTTAATTATTGTCTTTGTCTCATTAGAATGTAAATTCTATTACAAGAACAGAAGTACCTGATACAGTGCCTGCCACATATCATATAGTCAATATGTTGATTAAGTTGTTTACTGATTTTAAGAGCTCATTTTTGTTTCTTTAAGATTAGTTTATCATGCTGGACCAGAGGGATTTAAGTATCTTGGATATCAACAGTCCAGCCAGTGTGTTTTCTAATGCTGTTACCTGCATTCATTTTCACCCGCTTCGTTGTGATTTTATTTTATTGTGCTGAAAGTGCACAGTCCAATAATGGAAGTAGAATTGTTCTGCTCCCCAAAGGGAAAGCACTGCCATTGTGCCTGTTCAATGCGCCTTGTAAACAGCCCTGGATGGCCTCTTTATGGATCTGCCGTCTGTCTCTAAGCTCTATCCATTCCTCAGCCAAAGGCTGCAGCTCAGCTTCAAGCTGGAAAAGAAATTTTGGCAGCTCAGTTGCTATCTTTTAAAGGTCAGCATTAATTGTCACCATGACTGACAGTTTGTCAGAATGGAAAAGGGGAAATGCAAATTTGGTGAGTAGTTAAATTAGTTTCGTATCATTCTTTGATGGTGTTCTAAATGTTGCTATTTCTCTGTCTTAGGTAATCTACTTAAAGAAGACACCAGAAGAAGCCTACAGAGCACTGCTATCTGGCTCAAATCCCCCCTATCTTCCCTTCAGGTATAACTCTTGTGAGACTTGGGCTAATGGCACTTGGCTAGGCAGCTGCCACTGTAGAGTTGGATTACTACTGTTTTTTAATTGTCTTTAGACTGTGACTATGATGTTGTATGGAATAAAAGAGATGTTAGTTTTTATTTTGTTTTTGTAGAGTTCCCCCCCCCCCCCCCCCCCCATCTAACTAAGAATAAAATCGCTTTTTAAAAAATATTTTTTGGGGTTAACTTATTTTGAGAGAGAGAGAATGAGTGGGGAGGGGCAGAGAGAGAGGGAGACACAGAACTCAACACAGGCTCCAGGCTTTGAGCTGTCAGCACAGAGTCTGACGTGTGGCTCAAACCCATGAACTATGAAATCATGACCTGATGCAAAGTTGGACGCTCAACTAATTGAGCCACCCAGGCACCCCTAGCTTTTTCTTTTTAGGAATTAATTTTCTCCTTGAACCCTTTCTATGTCTTGAGGAAGGATGTCTCTCATTATAGTGTTGGGAAATATTTTTTTAAGTATCAGCTGAAGGTCTTTAAATTTTTTTAAAGTTTATGATTTATTTTGGGAGAGAGAGAGAGTGAGCAGGGAAGGAGCAGAGAGAGACAGAGAGAGAGAGAGAGAGAGGGAGAGGGAGTCACAAGTGGGTTCCACAGGATCAGTGCAGAGCCTGATGTGGGGCTTAAAGTCATAGAACTGTGAGATTATGACCTGAGCTGAAACCAAGAGTCAGATGCTTAATCAGGTGAGCCACCCAGGTGCCCCATCAGCTGATGGTCTTTTAAAAATTTCAGGTAAACTTGAGCCTGTTTAAAAAATGGAAGGGAACATACAGCCAATCTCCTACAACAGTCATTTCTGATAGAATTATGAATGATTTTAACAGTTTTACCTTTTTGCTTATTTGTATGTCCAAACCTACAAGCATATGCATTTCTTACTGTTGTTACTAATCTCATATTACCAATTACAATGAACGGAAGGAATAGCAAAGATTGAGGATGCCTCTTTGGCTGACTTCCTTACTGTCCTGTAAACTCAGAGGGCAGGTCCTGGTGCCCGACACTTAAAAGTGCTCTTAGTAAATATTTGAATGAATAAATCAATACTAAATCCCTTAAGATCCAAGGGGCTCCCACCTCTGTTTCTCAGGCCACAGGAGAGGGCCTTAATTAGGCACAGGGTAGGTGCCAAGGTGGGGAGGAGGAATGGGGGAGATATTGCCCTAATGTGCTTGATCTTCTTGATCCGCTTGACTGTCTCAGTGAAGTCAGAGGAGAGTAGTGAGAGGAAAATGTCCTCCAGCAATCTAGAGTATGAACGAATTAGCGATTGAAGGACAGATAAAAACTCACAGTTTATGTATAGGAGCTTTTTAACATGGAGACAAAGCTTGTTTTTTGCCTTCCCCTTCTACTGGCTTCTATAATTTGAAAGTCCTTTGTAAAATACAATCCTAACTTTTAGAAAAAGATAATTATTTCAGTCAGTTTGGGCTGGTGTAACAAAGTGCCATGGACTTGGTGGCTTGTAAACAATAGAAAGGTATTTCTCAGTTCTGGAGGCGGGATCTGGGTGGTCACGTTCTGGTGAGGGATGCAGACTGCTAACTTGTATCCTCACATGGTAGAATGAGAGTGAGAAAGATCTCTGGGGTGCCCTTTATGACGGCACTAATCACCCTCATGACCTAATCACCTCCCAAAAGTCCCACCTCCTAATACCATCAGCTTGGGGATTAGGATTTCAACATGTGCATTTTGGGGGGACACTAACATTCGGTCCATTGCGGTAATAATAATAATATTAATCGTTCTACTAAGTTTTAAACAAAGTGGTTAAGAATATATGTCTTGGAGGCCAAGACACTGGGTTTAAAGGCTTGTTCTGCTTTTTACTACATGTGGTAAGTACAAGCACCTTGAGCAAGTTATTTATTCTCTCTGAGCCTCAGTTTCCTTTTCTGTAAAATGGCTTTAGGGCTATCCTGGGGATTAAATGAAGTAATTCATTTATGATTATGCCTGGCTTTTGTTTTTCTCCTTGTTATTAGTACTGATACTATTATTAATAAGAAATAAGGATTTTCCACAAGGATATAAATATGAATAGGAAGTATTTCTTCCTAATGATCTCAGCTTCTAGTTGGGGCAGGCAGACCTCTAGGCACATAATTAACTGTCAAATAGTTAGGTTGTACAAAAATAGAAGACAAGACTAATTCTGACAGAGATTTGGGAAAGGATCAGACTCATTTAAACTGAGCTTTCATTTTTTTAACGTTTATTTATTTATTTTGAGAAGGGAGAGAGAAAGAGCGAGCACATGGACACAAGTGATGGAGGGATAGACAGAGGGAGAGAGAAGAGAATTCCAATCAGACTCCTTGCTGTCAGCACAGAGCCCAACTTGGGGTTCGAGCACACGAACCATGAGATCATGACCTGAGCTGAAACGAAGAGTCAGATGCTCAACCGACTGAGCCATCCAGGCGCCCTGCACTCTAAGTTGTATCTTTCTGATAACCCAAGACATCAAGAGTTGTGTTTACGTTAAGCTGTGTTTATTTCTTTCTTTTTTTTTTTTTTTTTAAATTTTTTTTTCAACGTTTATTTATTTTTGGGACAGAGAGAGACAGAGCATGAACGGGGGAGGGTCAGAGAGAGAGGGAGACACAGAATCGGAAACAGGCTCCAGGCTCTGAGCCATCAGCCCAGAGCCCGACGCGGGGCTCGAACTCACGGACTGCGAGATCGTGACCTGGCTGAAGTCGGACGCTTAACCGACTGCGCCACCCAGGCGCCCCAAGCTGTGTTTATTTCTAACTCCAAACTCTTCATAAACTATACATTTGAAAAAGAAAATACCACAAAGTAGTATAATTATGATTTAGTAAAGCATTAATTTTTAAAATTATTATTGTTATTTACTTATTTTTTCAAGTACTCTCTATACCCAACATGGGGCTTGAACTCATGACCCCAAGATCAAGAGTTGCTTGCTCTTCCAACTTAATGAGCTAGGTGTCCGCTCCCCTCCTATTTTTTTTAAATTTTAGTAAAGAATTTAGTTGAAAGAATACTATTCCAGAATAGTTTTCTGGAATTAGACTGAAGAAGCTTAATTTTTTCCTAATCAAGATAAGATGTGAGTTGATTTTAGTCTCTACCTCAGGCCAACTAAGGCTAATGTAATATTGTTAACAACCATCTTACAGTTCTGGTCAGCCATCATTGCCTTGGCCTTTATTTGTAATCTGGATTCTGTCATCCACTAGGTTTCTTACACTATTTGTTGCTAAATTATAATTTTCTCTTCATTGTCTAGATTTTTAAAAACCTTTTTTTAAAAAGTTTTTATTTATTTAAGCAATCTCTACACCCAACATAGAGCTTGAACTCATGACCCTGAGTAGCATGCTCTTAAGAGTAGCATGTTCTTCCTGCTGAACCAGCCAGGGGCCCCTAGACTTTTTTTTTTTAAAGCAAGAGAGAATAGCAGGGGGAGAGGGAGTGAGAATCCCAAACAGGCTCCACATTCAGCATAAAGTCAGACATGGGGTTTGATCCCACGACTGTGAGATCATGACCTGAGTTGAAATCAAGAGCCTGGCGCTTAACCGACTGAGCCACCCAGGTGCCCTAGATTTTTTTTTTTTTTTAAATCTACTCCTGCCTTAAGACTTTCATTTAAAAAAAAAAGAAGCCTTGAAAGAACTTCTATTTAAGTGCAATTGCTTTATTATTTAAAGTTTTTAAAAAATGAAGACCAGTTTGAAGGCTTGTCAAAGTATGGCTGATATCTTTATGTGCCCCTCCATCAAATTCCTTTTTCCATTTGTGCTCTATACTTTTAATGTCTTTCTAATAAAGAAGTTTTAAGGCTACTGTGAACTTAAATAATGCTCTTCTTCAAGATTTATTCATTTAATAAAAATGTATCTAAGCAATCTTTTCTGTGAAGCCTTTCCTCATTTTTCTAGAGAGGCTTGGTAGGTCCTTTGCCTGTAATTCCCCATTATATTTTGTGTATTGCATTTTGTGTATTACATTTGCTACATACATAATTAAAGCAAATGTCTTGTATTTATTTGTTTGCCTGGGTGACTCTTCACCAAATATGGCTGACTCTTCTCCTGAGGACTGGGATTGGGCTCTTATTTGTGTGCCAGGGAATAGATACATTAATTTATTTATGGATTTTTCTGTGCTAGTCACTGTGATAGTCTTATGGATCTTAGGAGGATAAGGACAGCAAGGTATTTGTTCTGGGGAACTCAGTGCATAGTTTGTAAGTGTGTAGGTATGTAAGACAATTGTCGTGCTTTGTTCAATTCAGAAGATAGGTACTATGGGAATACTGAAGAAGGAGGTTTAAACCTGAAACTGGGGATTGGAGGAGATGTTAGAGGTAGGCACCACGATTGCCTTTTCATGCTAGGATGAAAACTGGAAAATAACAATCCAGGTGTTGATTTTAGGTGCTGTGATTTCATTTGCATGGCTTAGCTTGTCTTTTATAATGGTAGGTTAGGCAGGATATTATACATTATGATGTTTGCAGTACAGGCACATTACTATAACTGAAAGGACTGTCTTACTGAGGTTTTTCTTTTGGATTTATCTTAAAAAACTGTAGATTATAGATTTATATTACCTTAGGTAAACATTCTGTAAAGATGAGGGAAATAAAAATAAAAAGAGTTGGGTAACTTTACTGCCTATCCTTTTTTTTCACCCAGTTTTATTGAGATGTAATTGACATCAGTGATTATCACAATAAATTTAGTTAACATCCATCATGTCAAAGAGTTACAAAAAAAAGTTTTTCCCCCTTTTGAGGAGAACTTTTAGGACCTATTCTCTTAGCAACTTTCAAGTCTAACAGCAGTGTTAACTGTAGTCATCATGTCGTACATTACATCTTCAGTAGGTATTTTATAACTGAAAGTTTGTACCTTTGACCACCTTCACCCGAATCCCCATTTACTGCTTAGTCTTGATTACATTGAT